TATTGTGTGATCAGAGCAGTTCGAAGGAATTAGATTCCACAAGTCCTGTTGAGAAAACTCTGTATGTCGATACTATACAGCAGGTGGAATCTCCAAGAACGAGATTTTGTTTGTCACATAAGCAAGTGGAGCGAATGCCTGCTGCAGGGGACAAAGATTACGAGGTTATTACTAAGTCCGAAGATCAACATAATTTGCATACTGCAGATAAGGGAGCAAAATTACTGCCAAACGCTCAGAAATTTAGTGACTTTGTTGTAGTATCTTCAATCAACAAATCAAATCTAAAAGAGGGAATGGGGACAACAAAAGCTTTTGGACATGATCATGATGTTTACCGCAATTCAGATACTCCCATTTATATAGAAGTAAATGAAAAGAAGACTACTGAGAGCTTACGACAGCAGCCACAGGAATCAGAAAAGCTAGAGAATTCTCATCAAAGCCACTTGCCGTTTCCTGTTCCTCCACCATTACCAAAATCTCCATCAGATTCTTGGCTTTTCCGTACTTTGCCTTCCATGTCCACAAAGAATTCATTTCTGCGTTCATACGTCGGTACGGCAACAAATCCTCAAAACCAGGGACTTAAGGCACAAACCTGTGATCCCAAATGGGAAACAATGGTTAAAACTTCAAAGGTGCAGCATCAATATTTTCATTATTTTGAGATACTATTGCTCATTATTTTTACTAATTAATTTGATTCTGTAGATTTCACTTCATATTTTATTATAAGAATAAAATCTAATTGGCTAACATTGTTTCCTTTTCTGTCAGGAACAGTTGACTCTTATTCCTGAAACATAGAAGAACCATTCCTGAGACCCTTCTGTTCATATTCAGCTGTTTATTGGTTAATCCATTAGCTTAATGGACATGTTAGATGACAAAAAGGTGCAACTTTTTCCCCTTGTTTTCTTTCCTTCCTATGGTTATCTGGAGGTGCTTTGTTTTGTCATCCTAGAGGGCAATGATTTGGTAACTGTAATTCTGATGCCTCGTCTCCTGCCTAGTGATTAATGGTCATAATAAAAATAAGTTCCTGTATAGCTTAGCTTTGAGTTATTTTCTTCTGAACAAATTGTACATCTATAAAGGGAAACACGAGACTACACTTGAAATATGGATGCTGAAAGACTTGGTACATGTTCTCTCATATCTTGAGTTATTTTGACTACTATAAACTTTTAGGTTGTGTATATTGGAGGATTCTCCGGTTGACTATATGATAGTTCTTCAATTTCTTTTGCTGTTTGGTTGTCAAAATGAATTATCTTAATACTCTATATATTACCTATATATCCACGTTCATGCTTATGTATCTCTGTTGCGCATGCGTATTAAACAGTTTCTTTGTGACTAAAATTTAAGCTTGTGAAACATATGAATCTATTAGTCATATGACAGGAACTTAAACTTTTGAATATCACAGAGTAATTCTTGATTCTGCTATGTATATTAATGCCTTCTACCCTGCAGAATTAGATGATTGTTAAAAACTTTAAGTGCTTGTTTGTTTGGTAGCGTTTTTACTTATGTATAAGTTTGTGGGTCAAATAAAAAGAATGTTTGATCAGTATAAATTCATATTTAAGCTTTGCCAAACATGCTCTATGGGCATTAGAATGTGTGATTTTTTGGAGAATGTATGTTTAAAAAATAAGGAAAAATTTTTGGATTCACATGCAAAATATTTTATTGTGTAAATGTGTGGCTGAAAATAAGTATCAGAATTTAAAAATTTTGAAATAATGATTGTCAAACATGGGTGTAATAACTTTAGGTCTATTTTATTGCATGTTGAAACTTTGAGTTCCTTTCGACTCAGAATGAGAAAAATGACTCAGTCAAGATCTTGACTTTCTATTATTCAATTCAGATCAAGCAATAAATAATCCATCTATGGTATGCGGTTAATGAGGGATGATATCTTTATAATAAATGCATTTCATATAGAATTTAGTTGCATTGATTATGAAACATTGTTTTCCATGAGATCGGTGGAATCAGTAAATTCAAAATTGTCACCAACTACCTGATTCAGAAGAGACATGATTAAATACACGAGATACTTTTTACTTACCGCAGTATCGATAAGGTGTGTTTGGTACAGAATGTATGTTTGGTAAAATAGATCATACAGTATTGGACATCATTAAAGTTTATATATATATAATCTCCTTAGCATCGGTGCTTAATTTATGCTAAACACCATGCAACAGATCAGGAAACAAGAGCTATCTGTACACTGTGCTTACAAGAGCTTTGTTTGCGTAGTATTGATGATACGTATAGTAGATGTCAGAAGAAAAAGAAAAAGGTGTTGATCCAAAAATTTATGCTTTTCATGGTACTGCTGATGGTGGCGGCGATGGTATCAATAGCATTTGGCACTACTTAGAGAAGGCAATCTGTAAACTATGCTAATGATGGTATAAAACAGACCCTATACGGTGGTCGACCACTTTATGGAGCTTATCAAGCTGTTCTTTTTCATATTTCGAAGTACACAAACATTTTTCACCATGAACAGTTAGCATTAAAAGAAGTACCTTGTCGAAAAAAATAACTCATCACTCTCCTTAAATCTTCAAAAAAAGAAAGTTTCATGTAGAGATCTTCAGAAAAAGATGAGTCATCTCTTCTTGACCCATAATGTCGATCCTTACTATCAGTTCCCAATACCAAATGCTTCACAACATTATAATTGATTGAACTGTTTATTCAATTGATAGTAGGATTTGTAATAAATGTCTCTTTGAGTCATGTTAATTTTAAAATTATTGATCACGATTTTGTTTTATTCACAACACATGATCAATAAATCTAAAAGTGTGACATTCAACCTGAGACATCGGCACTTTAGGCACCTGACATGACTAGATATGATTAAATGCGATATACATGTGACTAGTTCTTAATTATCATGTCCATTCTTTCTGGTTGGCGAACATACCTTAAATGGTTAATGACCTAATATACGTGGCTCGAAATTCTTGTAAGTATGTCAATAGTTTGACTGAATATAGACGTGTTTTACATTCATAAGTTATTTTTGACTCGTATATAAATTCTTTACCAGAAGAGATACAAACTAGTTATTGCATTCCTTTACGATCACTATTCACCATATTCATATGGCTCGACTTATTTGAGCGTTAGAGGGGATCCCCACGACAACGCCAAATGGGTATTGTATACCTCGAAATGGTGGAATACGTGAAGTTTTATATGTTTCTGTGTTTTAAGTATTTTTGGGAATTAAGCATGGTTGTTTGCCTTTTTAGTTCCTTTTTTAAGTTAGCTTGTTAAAGGAAATGTTGTCACCCACACATTAAAATTTAATTCAAGAGTTTTCTAGAGAGAGTCGATTGTAGCTCGCGACTCCTTGTGATCTTTGATATGCAACTTTCGTCTTTGATCCATTGCAATGTATAAATGAATTTGAATGTTTTCTCTAACAATCCTCCACAAAAGAATGAGTTCTTCAAAAAATCTCTTGTATAAGCTCATTTATGTATAGATGAATGTGGACTCGAATATGCTTCACTTGTTAACCAATGTAACATATATGGTAATCCCTAAAACATTTTACATACAAACTTAAAAATCCTTAAGTTCATGAAACCGACACGAGAATATACCATTTTCCTTATCCAATGTTATCTGAACGTCTAAGTGGCTAGCCATATAACTTTGGAGACATCACCATCCCTAACATTCTTATAGGTAAATTTATAAAGAATATTACTCACGTAATCATAGTATCCCATAGAAAATCTATATAAATCAATTAAAAGCTAGATAGCTTATCATTTCCTTTGTTAATGTTTATAAATAGTTTCTATACATGAGCCAAATTAGGCTAAATTATCCTTCTGAAAAGGCGTGATTAGGTCATTTGCGCCCTATTACAAACACTATTTACCATATAATACGCGATTCAATCCTCTCTTATCAGTATATTCAAACAGCTCGACTTGCATTCACCGAATAAGTCATAGCAGCCCCATTCTTTGGAAAAAATGCATTTTTAAACAATATTTTGACATTATTTCAACAACATATTTCAATAAAATAATATTACACGTAAATTCAAAACTTTTCTTTATTTTTTAACCACACATTTTCTATTAATTCACTATTCAAAAATGCATTTTCCACCACAATGGGGCTTAAACAAGCGCATAACATGTGTCTGTCGTAAGCCATCAAAAATTATCATTGGCAAATTGTTGATTGATTTTGACATCAACGCAACTTTGACACTTATGTCTAGTAGAGGACTCCAAAGGCCGTAACTATTTCAAATAGCACCAAACTTTAGAATGTCGCCCATAGCGCGATTTATAAGGAGAGAGGTAATTTTCATTTTGCTGTTAAAATCTCAATTCAGATTTCGCTAAAAGTTCAGTAATAGTTGATGAAACTTACCCAAGAAAAGGACATTATAAAATCTATACTGGCCTATAAATACATGATACAATCATAGAGTAGACATCATATGTCTAGAAGCCAAAGTAGAACCACATAGGATCAGCAAAAATGGGAAGATTGTTGGACGGTCGATTGGAGAAGTCAGATTTTCTGGTGGCTGACTATGAAAGGCCTTTTTTTTCTTTGTATGCTTGTTCTTTCTCCATCAATCATGGCCATGATCATATTTGTGAGTGCTCATCGCGACTGTGATTACTCCTGTGGTACATCTGGGAAGGAAAAGAGTGGTCACGGAGGTGGCTATGGGGGTGGTGGTGGTGGTGGCCGCTGTGGGGGTGGGGGTGGTGCTACTTAGATAGGGAAATTTGTAAAGTATTGTTAGTTTTATAATAATAATGTCGTCTATTTTGTATCAAATATTTCTGTTATCTGTTTTGGGGGAATTACTAATAAAATTGTTTCATATTCAAAATTTCAGTGTATTTCTTTATCAGTTTCTTTCACCAATGGTATGTTTGGTGCCTTGTTTTGTATAGTATTGAAACGTATCGACGATTAAAAAAAAAAAATAATATCTTACTCAGAGTACTACCAAGCCTTGCAATCCTCACATATTTTTTGGAAAAATGTGAGATAAGTTTTCTCTTTAGGTGCTTATTCTGTATCTTTTCAATCACCCTGACAACCGAATTTGTGTGGGGGTTGTGGTCATGATACATAAATTACACATGGGAACAACTATCGTATTTTGATGTCAATGCAACTTTGACACAAATGTCTCGAAATATTTCGAAAGGCACCAAACTTGAGAATGGATTACAAATATTTTCTTGAAAAATATATGAGAAAAGGACTTGAAAATATCTATACTAGTACTATAAATGCATGAAACAAATATAGAGTACACAGCACATGTTTAAAGGCCAATAAAGAACCATACAGGATCTGTTAGATAGTGAATTGGATGAGACAGATTTTATGAGGCTAGCAATGAGAGGCCTCTCTTTCTTTCTTTCTCAATCAGGGCCATGATAATATTTATGTGTCGCTGCAATGGTCCTGATGATGTCTCTCATAGCACATCAGGGAAGAAAAACAATGGAAACCGTTCTAGTTATGGCAATACTAGATGCAGAGGTGGAGTCAGGGTTCGAATACAGTAAATATCTGTTTGAACTAACGAAACAAATTCAGAAACAAAATTTCAATGGTGCGGGACCAGGGACCCCACTTGCCCTACTTCCCTCCACCACTGCCTAATGGTGTCGACATGGCTAATTATGCTTATTATGGTGTTATTACTAGTGACGGCAACTGTGATTGTGAGGGTGATGGGGATGGGGATGGTGGTGCAGAAATGGTGACGGTGGTTGGGGGACATGGCGGTGGCTATGGGTCGAGGAGATTGTACTAACCAAATATTCAATAATTATGTGTTTAATCAGTTCGAATGTAATAACGTTAAGGATCTATTCTGTAGTGATTTGAAGAACTGATTTTTTGATCGTTAGTGAGAAAAGTGGGAACCATCTGTGAGTGAGGAAGTAAAAAATGATGACTGGAATAATGAAATAACGATCAAAAAATCAATTTTTTTGGATGAAAAATCACTCCCGAATAGGAGCTAAGTCATTTTTAATATTGCTTTCCGACCCTAACATGCTTTTGCACGCTAAGGCTTTCTTGAATAACCCGAGTAAACCACTCAATACCCTGAAAACCCCTATCTAAAACCGGTTAACTCAAGCAGGTGTAAAGGGCTTTAATGCCTCAATTGCAGTAGCATGAT